AATGTATATAAACAGTTTGTCACAGCCCCTCGTTTGTTGTCCTCTTCTCTCTCTCTGCCAACGGTTTACCGGGCAGTTCTGTTTGTGACGATATATGTGTGTATATATATGTATATATAGATATATATCATCAAACAGAGCTGCCCGGTAAACCGTAGGCAGAGAGGGAGAAGCTACGGAGAAGAGGACAACAAACGAAGGGCGTCAAACAGAGATATATAGGGTTCAGCCCTGCTAATGAGTCGGTGAAAGTCCGACGAAACAGTTTGTCACAGCCCCTCTCGTTTGTTGTCCTCTTCTCCCTCTTGTCCCTCTCTGCCTACTCCCTCTCTGCCTACTACGGTTTACCGGGCTGTTCTGTTTGCTCGACTGATTATGTGCTAGAAAAAGGAGTTTCTGTTTTTCGTCTTGGGACATGGGAGGCTCTATTCCTCCTGATGAGTCGGTGAAACTCCGACGTAAACAGTTTGCGCTCTGATTCACAGTGTGACAATATATATATATGACGATATATATATATATATATATGAGTCGGTGAAACTCCGACGAAACAGTTTGTCACAGCCCCTCGTTTGTTGTCCTCTTCTCTCTCTCTGCCTACGGTTTACCGGGCAGTTCTATTTGTGACGATATATATATATAGACACAGCGCAAGCACGTTCCGAAGAACGATTTTGTGAACGGTTAGCTGCCGCTTTGTCGCTACCGTCTTCACGCGAATAGAACGCCCGGTAGTTATCGCCGTATCTGGGCAGAAAGTTGTGCAAAATACAGCTATAATGACCGGGCGTTCTATTCGGGTGAAGACGGTAGTTAATCTGAGCAGAGCAGTCGATCTGTTTTTGGCTGTTTTGATGGCGACTGCTTGCGCTGTGTGGCAACGGTGGCTGTGCTGAGTGTCACACATCGTTACCACATGTCACGCATCAGTACGACATGTCACGCATCCTTGCAGTGTGTGGCAATGGTGGCTGTGCCGAGTGTCACACGTCACTACCACATGTCACGCATCGGTACCACACCGCCTCCTTTTGCTGCGTGGCAACGGTGGCTGTGCAGAGTGTCGCACATCATTACCAGACCGACTCCTTGCGCTGTGTGGCGACGGTGGCGGTGCGGAGTGTCACACACCATTACCACATTTCACTCAACCTTGCGCTGTGTGGCAGGGGTGGCTGTGCGGACTGTCCCACATCATTACCCCACCGCCTCCCTCTTGCGCTGTGTGGCAACGATGGCTGTGATGAGTGTCACACATACCACATGTCCCGCATCAGTACCAGTCATCACCACATGTCGCGCATCATTGCCGCTTGTCACGCATCATTTTTTTTTTAACGAAATTGGTAAAATAAATGATTTTTTCGTAAAAAAAAAAAAGATGCGTTGCGTGTTTTATTTGAGTCGTTGTGAATGCTAACGAGCCGCGGGGCCGCATCTGAGAGGGTGGCTTGTGGATATGCCTACGGTCTTCCCCCGAACATAACGCACCCTGATAATTAATGTCTACAAGCTATATTTCCCGTCAGGTACAGCCAAAATGAGGGTGCGTTGTTTTCGGGGGAAGACGGTAGCATTTACAGGCCGGCTACAGTTAAATGAAAGGAAAAGTGTCACACGTGAATGCAGCGTGTCTTTCAGTCTAGATACAGCAATAATGACCGTACGTTGTATTCGGCCGAAGAAGGAAGAAGGTAGAGTCACGCCACGCCCGAGTATCCAATCCCGCGAATAGAACGGACGGTCATTATAACAGCCGTATTTGACTCACCTTTCTGTCCAGATGCACAGCGAAAATGACCGTGCGTTCTATTGGGGGGAAGAAAAAGGGAATGTGAGTAGTCATGCCTCTGGTGTGTGAATGTCCGAGTCCGTCTTCCCCCGAATGGAACGTACGGTCATTACAATAGCCGTACTTGGCCCACCTGTCTGTCCAGATGCAGCGAAAATGACCGTACGTTCCATTCGGGGAAAGAAGGTAGTCATGCCACGTGTGACGGGAACGTGTGTAGTCATCCCACGTGTCAATGTCCAATTACTGGATCGGATTCGAAGGTGTCTAATCAGATACATAAATGCCAATTAGTCTAATCAGATATAGTTAAATGCTAATTAGTCTATTCAGATATAGATAAATGCCAATTAGTCTAATCAGATATAGATAAATGCCAATTAGTCTAATCAGATAGATAATGCCACGTGAATAGGCGTGCCACGTGAATAGGCATTTATCTATCTGATTGAAGGTGTCTTCTTTTTATTGCACTGCCTGCGTGTGCCTGCTCCTGCGGCAACGTCAGCTCCCAAGCCATCTCTGTCTCTCTCTCTCCTCTTCCCTCCTCCCTCTCCCTCTCTCTCTCTCTTCCCTTGCTCCCCTCCCTCCCTCTTTCGTCTCTCTCTTGCATGATGGATTGCGACGCAGCCAGCATACAGCAGCCTGGGGGAACTGCCATTGGATTTTTTATGACTAGTAGTATTTTCATCATCTGGTCACATTCCCGGCATAATGCAAATGCCAGTGACAGTTCTTGCGGCGTCTTTCCTACATGCAGCATGCGTGAAAATGGCAGCGCACAGCCTTGTTCTTGGTAGTTCTGTCACCCCAAGCTCGTTCGTATCCATATGGAGGGAGGGATAGACAGAAGTGATGAGGACTTCACACATTTGGTC